CTATCAGATAACCAGAACCTCCTCTTTTAAAACTGTTGATGATTATAGTAGTTACTCTCAGTTATGGTGTAATTCCCACAATGCAGAAACAAAAGTCCCTCCATTCCCAGCTACATAATTTATGTAAACAAGTGTTCTCAGAGCTTAATTATATGTAAATAAAATTAAGAACAACTGAGTGTGAACCCTATCTTATTACATCAATATTGGCTTGTGCATACATGAGGAAATTTGAAAGAGAAAAAACAAGTTGTATCAAATATCACTTAAAAATATGTTTACAAAAAATATTTTCCTTTTTTTAATAATTCTAAAAATTTAAATATTTTCATATTGCTTTTATTAATGCACCCTTATAATAACTGATATAAAAAAACACTAACATTTGGAGCCTATAGAAAGTAAAATAATTCCAATTTGCATAAATATTATTTTAAGTATGAGAGAGTGATTATAATGAAATATTTAATAAAAAATAAGTACAAGAATGTGGTATAATGGAACAAACTCAAGAAGGCAAAGCAATATTATTAAATGTTTGAGTTAAAAAAAAACTTGTTCATATATTTTGAAATGGATAATTTTGAGTTCAAAATTTCTACAGTGTAAAGATTCCACAGAATACATTTTAAATAGTAATATGGCAATGGAATACTATTCAACCATAAACATGAATGAAATCCTGTCATTTAAAATAATATGGATATGCCTGGAAAACATTATGTTAAGTGAAATAAGTCAGGTACAGAAAGATAAATACCACATATTTTCTCTCACATGTGGGAGCTGAAAAAATTGAGCTCATAGAAGTAGAGAGGAGAACTGTAGGTTCTAGAGGCTGGGAAGAGCAGGAGATAGAGGGAGGTTTGTTAATGGATACTGACCTACAGCTACATAAGAAAAATAAGTTCTAGTGTTCTATATAGTAGTGCTAGCTGTCTATAATTGGCAATATTTACTGTATATTTTGAAAAAGCTAGAAGGGAAAAATTCAAATGTCATCACAAGCAAATGATAAATATTTTGGCAATGGATATGCTGATTACCCTGATTTGATCATCACACATAGTATACACGTACCAAACTATCACTCTGTGCCCCATAAATATCTACAATTATTATTCGACAACTAAAAAATAAAATAAAATAGTGATGTGAGACATTTTTTAATGTCAATATTTACAATATACTGGAAATTACATCCCTTTCTACTATTTAAATTTTTAATGATAATTTATATGTCAACTTAAAGTACTTAAAGAAAAAGTATTCTGAGGAAACACCTGCATAAAAATCCTAAAGGCCACTATGCTGAATTAATTTGAGAGGAGAAAGGTATGTTACAAGAGAAGAGACTGCAGTACTCTGAAGTCAAGAAGGAAAAATTAATTAACCCTGGGAGGGGGCTTTGATGCAAGTAATAACTGGAGCAAGGACTTGATAGATGTTTAATATCACGGGATATGAAAGGATCTGGCTAGAGCACTAAGGTCCTTTCCTGAGAGGATTGGCCTCATTGGCACACGACCTGGATATTTGTAGTGGCCATGTTCAGAAGGGTCCAAT